CATTGCACGGTGAAATGAAAGCGATTCAATTCCAAAGCAACCTTTGGAAGACACGGACACTTTCACCTTCACAGCAGAAAGAGCACCCACATTTGCAAAGACAGTTTATTGATGACAAAATATACGTATTAARATATGGAACAATCATTMWWTGGTTTWTGTAAAGGATATTCATAACTTCGCTGAACTGCTCCGACTGATCATAGTGCTGGAACATCATGATAATCATATTACAAATGATGACACCAAGCAAAACAATCTCGAATACTGTACTGGTCACTGCATCAAATAGACGACCTCTTAGGCAATCCTGCACGACAAATTGATAAGATTATGGCGACAATAATATCAAATATAACTTACTAATAACTGATAATAATTACTAATAATTATTTCCATTAGACTCACCTGCGGTCTGATGGCCTGAACAGGAGCTTTTCGTTTTGCAGCCTCTTTTAGCATGTCCACCCATTTCCGTTGACTGTCAGTTAGCARCATGCCCATRCCACTTAATTCATCATACTATTGAATGGAAGGGTTTATCATTATAATCATAGCAGCCTCAATTATAATCTCGTTATGATTTTAGTGTCTGGATGTAAAAGAGAAGTGATCGTAGAGTAATTGCCCTATTTCATTATGACGTCACAGTATGTYTACATCGGAAAACGATGCTCAAAARCAGTRGAAATTTGGACSCATTTATATTGTCTACTAAAGTAGAACTTCAATGAATCGTRTTTTGATATAYATCATGTATWWATGATTGTYCATGTACATTTTATTTGAWATGCAGTCACTCTGATCCCTTCTGGCGACCATGATCCTTAGCGTTAAAACAATAGAATGTTTTGATGTGACGTCATAATGAACTAGGGCAATTCCATTGCTTTTATTATGGCCAGTTACCTTTCGTTTAAGCGTATTGAAATTATCAATGATGACACCGACGAACAAATTGAGTACAAAAAATGCTCCAATGATGATGAAGATGACAAAGTAGGTGTACCCACTGAAGTTACTCTCGTCTGATGGCTGCATGTCATGCTTAAAGGAACAAGAGAGAAATTAAGATTTGACTATAAATTCCTCTAAAATCGTTAACGATGGTTAATCTTTGTGGGCTTGTGAGCTCTATGAGGGAGGTGAGCTTTTCTGCAGTGGTTGGCTTTGCATGGATTACATTGACTTCGTTTTTTTGAAACTTACCCCTCTTGTGTCCACTGCGTCATCCATGACCTCCATCCAGCCTTCAAAGGTTGCCTTAAAACACAAAAACAACTAGCATATTAAATGCCACGGGACCAAAAAAGTAAAACACAATAGTGTGTACGAAATTACAAACATAAAGTCTAAGATGTTGTCTATGAAGTCGTTCGCGGGAAGACTTAAAGCGGGGAAAATACCTCGAATGAGCCACATCTCTTTAATTGCATTTTTCTGGTAGACAAAGACTTTCATAGTCCGTTCAGTGTGATAATGCMTATCAATCTAAGGGAGGACGCATATGGAGTTGAAGCACGCGCACACCCCTYCCCCCGTTAGGCTTACTGACTGACTTACCACTTGAAAAAGYGCTAAAAAACCATTGATGACATTATCAAAGTTAATTTTCGARTTCTCCCACCGATATCCATCATCTGCATGCGCGAGGCAATCAGATTTATTGTTGATTTCTAATATTGGCAAACGGTTGCCATCTTCGTCCAGACACTTGAAGAACTTGCCGGCAAATAACTGGACACCAAGGATTGAGAAAATCAACCAGAACAGTAACGATACAAGWAGCACGTTGGCGATTCCAGGAATGGCTGCGAAAAGCGCATTTACAACAACCTGTRAATAGAGAACGTTCAGTAGCATATTTCACGTTTTTTCGTTCGTGACCATGAAAGATATTTCAAACGCAGACACAAACCTTCATGCCTTCCAGTCTTGAGACAGCTCTCAATGGACGTAATGCTCGTACAGTCCTCAATGACCTAAACACTGCAAGTTCCTTATCTTCAACTATGCAAGCTACAGAAATCTGTGAGAATAAAACAATAAGGATAAATTCAGATGCATGAACTCAATGTTTTTCTTATAGATGGCTGCAGGGGATTTAGAGTGGAAAAAAGACAGTGCGTGCAAGAGAAATGAAAAGTCTATCAGAAGAAGTGGGATGTAACGATTTTTAAGGAGACTTTCCCTTCAAACCATTAAATGATGATTTGAAATAGCCTTGAATAAAAGGGCCCTATAAAAGAGTTAATAGAAAATATCTATGTTGGACTTACTGCTACAATGAACGCATCCAGGAAATTCCAGAATGACGAGAAGAACTCTACAATCCCAAGTCCAGTGATCTTGAGAACGAACTCGATGGCAAAAATAATGGCAAACATGTAGTTCAGTGTGTCGAGTATGTAAGCAAGCTTTGGGTTGTCTTTGAGGTGAACGTCTTCAAAAACCTGTTGAGACATTGTTAATGATTTTCTYCCCAATTTTCAGAGAATTTGCACATGAAACTGGATGAAAAAATGTACATTGAAAGGAAGAAAAGAGCTATAAGTTTGATGCATGAAAAATAGATTTGATTGCTGTAATGTTTCCCAACTGCTAAACAGAAAATCACATTGGGTGGATGCACCACTGAAGCGCGCGAGAATGTGTTCGACAGCTAGCATTTTTAGATTTTGTTAACATAACCTTACCAGAACAAAGCTGCTTATAAAAACCAGCGATAAAATAAACCATTCAAAGAATCGATGTTCCACAATGAAACGCACTCGTGCTCGAAGTCGAAGCCACCAATAACATGTCAAGGGTAAGCAATCAAAGGGAGCCATCAGGAACTCCGGAAAGCATTCGGTKATGACAATTTCTCCTACAGGTCGATTCTTCCTGTTACCGCCAATTCCTGCGGCTAAGCTTGCTAACGTTGCGTTACTTCCTAGAAATAAYAGCATGATATGTAACACAACTGCGTCATGTAGTCAACGTTTTCGTCACGTTAGCTTCCTATTTACCTGCATCTGTAGGGGACTCCAAGTCACGACGAGGCAATGGTTTGGTTGCTTTTACTACTGTGCTTTTTCCTGGTGTTTGAATTTGGTTAGTTGCCGACCCATTTGCTGTGGACTGAGGGACGTTGTTTTTAAGTGGGACGATCCAGCGCCTTGTCGTGAAGAGTTTTCGCTTCAACCAGTCACGGAATGGCTCTTTGTCTTCACCATCTTCGTCTTCGTCTTCATCTTCTTCCTCGTCCTCACTATCAAAGGCATTTAGAAGCAAAGCGAGGAAGAGATTTAAAACCTGCAAATTAAATTCAGAAAAAAATGAACATAAAGAAGAGAAAGGAAAAGCGTGACAATTTCTTGCGTTACATTTACGTCATAATTTATGCAATGCGCATGAAAGCGAGGTATTTGAAATATGGCGCTCAAGGCGTTTAGTGTGTTTGGGTCGCAACGAGAAAGAAGACTCTTCAAATGAATGACTTTCCAATGAGTTTATCGAAACATTGTAAACAATTGGSTTCATGTCTTGTTAAGGTATGATTTTGATGGATTCATTGGTTTAATATATTCATATTTAGACCAATTATCATTCATTGCCTTCGATGCACGCTCACTGCTCAATCGAACTCAGTTTTAAGACTAAAATATTTTAATGAATTTTATTCTTTCCTTTGAAATTTTCAAGAGTTATATTTATATATATTATCAGTTGAGCATTATAATGTCCAATTGAGGTTTTGAAATGTAAAGATATTGCTTTTATGCATGGTAAACAATGTAGCTATAGGTCCTTGTTTTACATATGCTCAAGTTACCAATTTACATCTAATGCTGTTGTTTTACCTTCTCGGAATACTTGTTTATAGTACAGCTAACGAAGACGATAAATTTGTCATTTATACCTGCACTGATATATTTAGAGCAAGTTACAACGAACAACTGATACAGAATTATAATAATTTGACCACATGTTTTGATCATTCGCAATATATTCCGCTAGTTTCTTAGATTTATTATATATTATACAGCGTTGAATAATAATAACAGCAGCGAAAAAATACAACTGAATWAAACAAACAACAACAGCAATTACAACAACAACAACATCACAAACAACAACAACAGCTGCAGCAACTACAACAAGAACAACGGCTCGGTATGTCATGAGAATGATTGATTGATTACTCACTATAAAATTGCCAATGACGAATGAAAGTATGAAAAACACAATCGCTCCAGGATTCGTTGCTTTCATGCAATCCCACARCGGCTCRATCCATTCTCCACATAAAATTCGAAAAACTACCATAAAGGAGTGCCAAAAGTCTTTGAAATTCCATCKTGGAATACCGTCAGGGAAAACCTCCTCCGTGTACGAGGAACCAAAAACTTTAACTCCCATAACGGCAAAGATGTAGATTATAAGGACGAGGATAAGAGTGATATTGCCGATGGGTCCCACACTGTTCGCTATTGTAGCAAGTAGTTTTCCCATAGTCTTCCAAGACTGAGCTAATTTCATTATACGAACCTGAGTGGAAAGAAAAATGCTGTATTATTGACTATATTATGTGATGTAAGACATGCAATGAGGACTTGAACAAATTTCAATGCAAAGCCGGGGTAATTAGCTCCAGAACGAGGCGCAGCCGAGTCTGCTATGTTATTATAGTATATGAGATGCATTTTGGGTAACTGTTACATGATTTTCGCCATCTCTTTTCGCGAAATAAGATTGAAAAAAAATTAAAATCTTTGAAATTATGCTTATTTAGCATTTTTCAAACGTATTCTGCTTTTTTTATGTAAAAGATGATGACGGCATACTATTTTGTCATATATGCATCATATGTAAGGTTTTTTACGTCATGGTATTGTGTCACATATGCTTCATATGTAAGGTTATGACGTCATAGTATAAATGACGACACTGACGACGATATTACAGATGACATCATAGTTACTTACTAAGCGAAATGTCCTAAATATGCTTGTCCCTGCTGATTCGCGGAACTTTGCTAATTCAAATGTAGTGTCTATTAAACTCATAACTACAATTAAACCATCGAAAAGATTCCATCTGCTCTGTAAATAATCAACTGTACCCAACGCCATCAACTTTACTACCATCTCTAGTAGAAATATCGCTGTGAAAACCTACAGTAAATAAAGAGAAAGCAGTTATTATAGGGAAGAGGATTTCTGCGGTTTTTGTTTGTTGATAACTGATACCATAAAATGAAAATAGTCATTTACTAAATCACTAGCCCACTAGCAATAGAAATCATCATTTCATAACGACATCTGCCAGGTGCTCATTTCTAGGAACTTACAAATAAGATCATACCAAATTATTTTTTATTAATTTTTTTATCTCCTCATATTCAACTGAGAATTATATCGCGCGCTGATTGCAAACTTTAGCACCTTTAGACAACAAATTCAATGATGATAATTATAATACTTACCAAATTCAATATATCTAATACGTATTTAAATCCATCATTGATACCATAATGATAAAGCGCCAGTACTACAGTATTAGCCAGTATAAACCCGTTTACAGCCAGTTCAAATAACGGGTGATCAACTGCGCTCAACAGAATCCTCTGAAATCGAGGCCAGCAGCGCATGTCTTGCGTGAATAAATCGTTCTTTAATTTTTCATCTAAGACATCTTTAAAAGTGTTCTTGCTTCCTATTTTCTTGAAAATCGATTCTTTTCGTTGTATATTAGATTTCTGTGCTTGTTTGATTTGATAAGCTATTTCTCGTCTGATTGCCTTGATACCTAGTATTTGAGCACCAACGGTGGTGTTAAGTGGACGCAGCGTTCGTAGTGTCTCTTCGTCTGCAGGATATGATACTGCGCTTTTTTTCTCGCGTCGTCTTTGTACGGACTGGAATTGTGATAATATGGTATATTATAAAACATTGCGTCATCTATACAATAAGTTATTGAGCAATAGTAACTATTAGTAATGTTCTTGGTTTGAGCGTTTTATGTCTTAAAAGACATAGCTGCCATGTTGTATAAGATGACAAGGCATTTCTCATGAGTTTCTCTTGTTCATTCATGCAACATGGTGGCGGTAACTTTGCACTATATTCTCTTACCCAGGCCCTTCTCAATGTCATTTTCTGAGAGTAATCTAGGCACGAGAATGACTTCTCAAAAGAAGGGAGCCAAAAGTATGACTCGAGTATCAAGTAATCATTTGTGATTTTGCAGATGATCTTCATCTTAATCAATAACCTCCTCAGAAGGCGGCTCTTTCCTTTTGAAAAGTAACGGGCTTCCTGCGTTAAATAGCGAGTCCGAAATTGTAAAAACCGGAAAGGGAGATACCTTCGGAGGAGGTTACTTAATCAAGGAGATACGCGGATTTTGACTATACTCAGGCACTGTACCTCGTGGACTACGGCTCTTATCTCTTGTTCGTACGATAACGCCACAATGGCAAGCACAAGATTGAGCAGATAAAACGAGCAGAAGAATATCGCACATATGAAATAGAACACATATCCAGCGCCTACAGCAGCAATCATCTGAAATACATCACATACCAATTAGTATTACTGTCAAACGTGTATATATCGTGCGCTCTGATTGGCTGAGGGAGCGTGTTTAGAGGGTAATTTAAAAAAAAATTCGTCGTGGACACAGCGAGGCTCAGTCTAAAACGGAGAGGATGAAATAGAAAATTTTTATCACAATTTGAATTGCTTTTGAAATAATATGAAAGTACAAATAGAAAATTTCGTCTCTTTATAAATACTTTTTTCTGGTTTGCATTAGTGAAACATTTATTATCAAAGTGTACTAATAACATAGATATTTACCATACCACTCTTACCTTATTATACAAGTTTTCCCAGTAGTCCATTGTAAGAAGCTGAAAGGACATTACTAATGCCCATCCAATGTTGTCAAAGTTAGTGTAACCATAGTTAGGGTTCGGTCCCGCATTCGGCAAACACGTGTAATTAGCGGGACATGGTCTGAAATTGAACGGAATGATTCTTGTTGATAGGAGTATTGTAACTTACGTAAAATAGCGCAGAAAAACGCGACTCATTGCTATGCAATGAAGTACAACACCACAATGCAATGATTAACTAGACGGTAATTCATCGAAATAACGCAACGCAGTGAAACGCAACTCTACGTAATATAACCGCAACAAAACGTAAGCGACCAATAACTGGTTAGGCAGACAGGTTAAGTAGACGGTAATTTATCGAAATAACGCAAAGCAGTGAAACGCAACTCTACGAAATATAACCGCAACAAAACGTAAGCGACCAATAACTGGTTAGG